AAGTATATTCCCAGTCTCTACCACTAGAGCTACTGATTCAGTAGATGGGGCCTAGCATCTCTATTTTTCACAGTTTCTCAAATGACTCCGACGCTCTGGGTTGAAAGCTACTGCCCTAGCCTGAATAGGAGTTTTGAGGGCTCTTACCTCCTGCCAGCCCCAAATACTTTCCAGAGGGCTCTAGGCTGGAATCCAAATCACCTTGAGGTGTTTAGGAATGGTGGTGAAGTGGAGCAAGCATAGGATTATGTGATCTGACTAGTTTTACATCTTGGTTCTTCCACAAACTAGCTGTGTGACCTTCAACAAATGGTTTCCCTTGCAGTGCCTCTGTCTCCTCAGCTTCAAAACGGGGGATAGGCGGGGCACAGAGGCTCATGCCTGTAATCCCAGCACTTTGGGAGGCCGAGGCGGGCGGATCACCTGAGGTCAGGAGTTTGAGATCAGCCTGGGCAACATGGAGAAACCCCGTCTCTACTGAAAATACAAAATTAGCTGGGTGTGGCGACACACGCCTGTAATCCCAGCTACTCGGGAGACTGAGGCAGGAGAATCACTTGAACCTGGGAGGAGGAGGATGCGGTGAGCCGAGATCACACCATTGCACTCCAGCCTGGGCAACAAGAGTAAATCTCCATCTCACCAAAAAAAAAAAAAAAAAAAAAAAAGGAAAAAAAAGGGGGGGGATCATTATACTAATCTTAAAGAGGTGCTCTGAAGAATAAAACAGTTAAAAAATATAAGGGGGTTGTAATAGCACAATAATTTGGTCAGAATAATCAAGCCTCAGATAACAATTATAAAACCGAAACAAGGGCCAGGCGCGGTGGCTCACGCCTGTAATCCCAGCACTTAGGGAGGCTGAGGAAGATAGACAATTCGAGGTCAGGAGTTTGAGACCAGCCTGGCCAACATGAAGAAACACCATCTCTACTAAAAATACACAAAAAATTAGCCAGGCTTGTGGTGCACACCTGTCATCCCAGCTGCTTAGGAGTCTGAGGCAGGAGAATCACTTGAACCTAGGAAGTGGAGGTTGCAGTGGGCCGAGATCATGCCACTGCACTACTCCAGCCTGGGCGACAGAGCAAGAGTCTGTCTCAAAAACAAAAAACAAAAAAACAAAAAAACTGAAACAAGGCCAGGTACAGTGGCTCATGCCTGTAATCTTAACATCTTTGGAGACTTAGGTAAGAGGATCACTTGAGGCCAGGAGTTCAAGACAAGCCTAGGCAACATAGCAAGACTCCATCTCTGTCAAAATAGATTTTTAAAAAATTAGTTAGGCATGGTGATATGCACTGGTAGTCCCAGCTACTTGAGAAGCTGAGGCAGGAGGATTGCTTGAGCTCAGAAGTTCAAGGCTGCAGTTTGCTATGATCACATCACTGTGCTCCAGCTTGGGCAACAAAGCAAGATCCTGTCTCTTAAAAACAAAACAACAACAACAAAAACCTGGCCGGGCGCGGTGGCTCATACCTGAAATCCCAGCACTTTAAGAGACCGAGGCAGGTGGATCACCTGAGGTCAGGAGTTCAAGACCAGCCTGGTCAACATGGTGAAACCCCTGTCTCTATTAAAAATACAGAAATTACCCAGGTGTGGTGGTGCACGCCTGTGTTCCCAGCTACTCAGGAGGCTGAGGCAGGAGGATCACTTGAACCTGGGAGGCAGAGGTTGCAGTGAGCTCAGATCGTGCCATTGCACTCTAGCCTGGGCGACAAGAGCAAAACTCCATCTCAAAACAAAAACCAAACCAAACCAAAACGAAACAAAAAACAAAAAACCTGAATAAAATAAACAACAACCAAACCTAAATATTTGAAGGCACTAGAGAATGTCTAACAGCAATTAGAAATGTGAGGAAAACCAACTCTTGAAAGGTGGGAGCTGCCTTGTACTATGTACTAGATTTATATTGTTGTGATCATTTGTGTGAGGGCACTCTGTAATTTGTGTGGGAGGTGGAAAGGCATAGAAAGCTGCGGTCTTACTGGTTCGAAGTGCCAGGTGTACAGAGTTATAGGCAAGTAGTGTGGCTGGAAAATTAAGAGGGAACTCACAGAAAGAAATTCTACAGAGCAAACAAGTCCCAAAATCTGGACATAAACTCTGTCCAAATCCTTGGTTGTCCAACTGCACATATGCACAGGAGTCCCAGTAAAATCAGCAGTTGAGAGCAAGAACTGAGTAGAAATTCCAGCTACTGCCTTTCACAAGGGAAACAAAGATTGGAGATTCGGTCCAACCAAGTTAATTGCCTGTTAGAACAAAATTAACACTCTTGAGAGGAACATAACAAAATCCATAGTCTTGACAATGTCCAGCTACAATAAACAAATACTAGGCATATGAAGAAACAGAAAACTGAATCATACTCAAAACTCACTCTCACCGGGTGCGGTGGCTCACACCTGTAATTCCAGTACTTTGGGAGGCTGAGACGGGCGGATCATGAGGTCAGGAGATTGAGACCATTTGGCTAACAAGGTGAAACCCTGTCTCTACTAAAAATACAAAAAATTAACTGGGCAAGGTGGTGGGTGCCTGTAGTCCCAGCTACTCGGGAGGCTGAGGTGGGAGAATGGCGTGAACCTGGGAGGCGGGGCTTGCAGCAAGCCAAGATTGCACCACTGCACTCCAGCCTGGGTGACAGAGCAAGACTATGTCTCAAAAAAACAAAACAAGACAAAACAAAACAAAACAAAAAACCTCACTCTCAGAGAGAAAAGGTTATGACCTAGATGTTGGAATTCCTAATCTTGAGAATTGGCAGCAAGGATTTTAAAGCAACTTTTATAATTATTTTCTCTTTTTGAGATGGAGTCTCCCTCTGTTGCCCAGGCTGGAGTGCAGTGGTGTGATCTCAGCTCACTGCAGCCTCTGCCTCCCAGGTTCAAGCAATTCTGCTGCTTCAGCCTCCCAAGTAGCTTGGATTACAAGTGTGTGCCACCACACCCAGCTAATTTTTGTATTTTTAGTAGAGATGGGGTTTCACAATGTTGGCCAGGCTGGTCTTGAACTCCCGACCTCAGATGATCTGCCCTCCTTGGCCTCCCAAAGTCTGGGGATCACAGGCATAAGCCACCATGCCCAGTCTCATTTTCAAGGTCTTACGGGAAAATGTAGTCATAATGAAGGAACAGATATGGAACTTCAGAAGAGAAATTTTAATTATAAAAAAGAACCAAATGGAAATTCTAGAAGTGAAAAGTACAATAACTGAAATGGAAAATCAGCTTGATACATTTAATAGCAGAATGAAGATTACAAAGGAAGGAGTTAGTGAATATAAAGATAAAGCAATACAAATTATTTATTCTAAAGACCAGAGAGATAAAAAAATAACTGAAAAAATTAAATGGAGTTTTATGGATTTGGGAGGCAACACTAAAAGTTCTATATACCCAGCCTGGCCAACATGGTGAAACTCCATCTCTACTAACAACACAAAAATTGCTGGGCACAGTGGCTCACTCCTGTAATCCCAGCACTTTGGGAGGACCAGGCAAGCAGATCACATGAGGTTGAGAGTTTGAGACCAGCCTGACCAACACAGAGAACCCTTGTCTCTACTAAAAATACAAAAATTAGCCTGGTGTGATGGCGCATGCCTGTAATCCCAGCTACTCAGGAGGCTAATGCAGAAGAATTGCTTGAACCCAGGAGGTGGAGGTTACAGTAAGCCAAGATCACACCATTGTACTCCAGATTAGTTGACAAGAGTGAAACTCCATCTTTACTAAATTTTAAAAATAAAAATAAAAAAGTTAAGTATACCATATGTAATTTGAATTTTAGAAAAACAGAAGAGGGAGAAAGGGGCATTAAAATATTTGACAAAGTATGTGCTGATTTCTCAAATTTATTCAAGGAAAAATTTATAGATTCAAAAATCTCAGTGAAGCCCAAGCAACCTGAATACAAAACAATCTGCCAAGGCATGGCATAGTCAACTTTCTAAAACCTAAAGGTAAAGAGAAAAATATTGAAAACAGCCAGAGAAAAATGATACATTATAAACAAGAACTATGATTCAAATGACAGCTGACTACTCACTGCCAACAGTGAATGCTTGAACCCAGTGGATCAACATCTTTAAAGTGCAGAGGGAGAAAGAGAAAAAAGAGAAAGAGTGAAAAGAGACACTCAAATTAGATTTCTATATCCAGTAACACTATCCTTCAAAAATGAAGACAAAATAGAGCATTATCAGATAAACAAAAACTGAGTTTGTCACCAGCAGACCTGTATTATAAGGAACATCAGCAGGGCATGGAGGCTCATGCCTGTTATCCCAATACTTTGAGAGGCTGAGAAGGGTGGATCATTTGAGGTTAGGAGTTTGAGACCAGCCTGGCAAACATGGTAAAACTCTATCTCTACCAAAAACACAAAAATTAGCCAGGCATGCTGGTAGGCACCTGTAATCCCAGCTACTCGGGAGGCTGAGCCAGGAGAATCCCTTGAACCAAGGAGGCGGAGGCTGCAGTGAGCCGAGATCATGCCACCACACTCCAGCCTGGGCAGCAGAGTGAGACTCTGTCTCAGAAAAAAAAAAAAAAGAAACATCAAAGAAAGCTCATCTGGCTGAAGGAGATGATATCGGATAAAAACTCAGAAATATAGAAAGGAATAAAAAATACTTGAGATGATAAACAGGTGAGTAAATATTTTTAAATTGTATTTACATTTTTTTCTTTATTTCTTTAAGAGATGTGGCTGTTTCTTTTTTCATTTTTTCCTCTATTTTATTACTGAAATATGTTGTCCTGCCCATGCCACCCCACAATAAAAATCTCACCCAGCTCCCCTATTTCTTTCCCTCATCCCCTCTTCCACCACACCATCCCAGAACAAGGGCTCCCGGATGCCCTGCCCACTGGCCATTTTGGAGTGTGTCCATTGGGTAGCAATGTGGAAACCACCGGGGCCTTTGTGGAGAAAACGGAGGGCGTTGAGGAAGTCCCAGGAAGGGCTTACTTGAGGGCCTTGGCCCCTTAATCATAGGCGAGCTTGATCTCCTCGCCATCTGGGCAGGTGGAGGCAGATTCTTCCCGCGCATAAGCATTGCTCAAGTGCCTATGCACTCCGGGGAAGGCCTCGGGGATGGTAAATCCCCAGTACTTCTTACACACCACCTGTACTATGTGTAGCTTTGGCAACAGGTTGCGGTCAGCCAGGGTGAGTTCGTTGCCATTCAGAAACTTCCTCTGAGAGATGCCCTCATCTTCAGCACTGGTTTCATCCACTTCTTCTGGGAGGGGGGATGTTAAGTAATTGTCTAAAACCTGCAGGGCTTCTAGGAGTCCCTTCTCCAGATTATCACTGAGTGCTGGGTTTGAATTCTTGATGTAGGCAGAAAATTTGGCAAATATGTCCAGCCTGGCTGTGTTGGTCTCAGGGTTCAGAGCTGCCAGCTTGGGGTATCTGGGAGGGCACAGCACTGCCTCTGGAAATTCCTCCATCTTGTTGGTGTCTGTGTGCACTTCAGTGCCATACAGCAGGAATGGGAGCTGCCCTCCTGGGCACAGCTTCTGTACTCTCTCCGTCCATCTCTTGGTGTCAATGGTGGTAACATTGAAGGTGACTCCCTTGACCCACAGCACCATGAACAGTCTCTGGGAGATCACTTGAGGTCAGGAGTTCAAGACCAGCCTGGCTCACATGGTGAAACCCCATCTCTACTAAAAATACAAAAATTACCCGGTTGTGGTGGTACGCACCTATAATCCCAGCTACTCGGGAGCCTGAGGCACGAGGATCACTTGAACCCGGAAGGCAGAGGTTGCAGTCAGCCAAGATGGAACCACTGCCCTCCAGCCTGGGTGACAGGGTGAGACTCCTTCTCAAAAAAAAAAAAAAAAAAATAATAATAATAATAATAATAATAATAATTTTAAGTAGATTGTGATAAGTTATAGTGCATGAGATTCACACTCACTATAGCAGCCATTATGACTACAATTTAAAGAGGGTACAGCTTTAAAAAAGTCAGTAAAGCCGGGCGCAGTGGCTCACACCTGTAATCCCAGCACTTTGGGAGGCCAAGGCGGGCAGATTGCCTAAACTCAGGAGTCAAAAAAAAAGAAAGAAAGAAAGAAAAAGAAATGGTCAGGCAGAGCAAAGAAGAAGATATAAGTATATGCTATCTACGAGGCACATACTTTTAAAAAAATTTTTTTTTATTTATTTATTTTGAGATAGAGCCTCGCTCTGTTGCCCAGGCTGGAGTGCAATGGCACCATTTTGGTTCACTGCATCCTCCACCTCCCACATTCAAGTGATTCTCCTGCCTCCGCCTTCTGAGTAGCTGGGATTACAGGTGCGTGCCACTACGCCCAGCTAATTTTTGTATTTTTGTAGAGACAGAATTTCACTACGTTGGCCAGGTTGGTCTCAAACTCCTGACCTCAAGTGATCTGCCTCCTTGGCCTCCCAAAGTGCTGGGATTACAGGTGTAAGCCATTGCGCCCAGCCCAAGGCACATACCTTTTTTTTTTTTTTTTTTTTTTTAGATAGAAAGAGTCTCACTCTATCGCCCAGGCTGGAGTGCGGTGGCGTGATCTGGGCTCACTGCAACCTCTGCCTCCCAGGTTCAAGCAATTCTCCTGCTTCAGCTTCCTGAGTAGCTGGAACTACAGGCATGCGCCACCATGCCTGGCTAATTTTTTGTGTGTGTTTTAGTAGAGGTGGGGTTTCACCGTGTTGCCCAGGCTGGTCTTGAACTCCTGAGCTCAGACAATCTAACTGCCTCAGCTTCCCAAACTGCTAGGTTTACAGACGTGAGCCACTGCGCCCAGCCGGCACACGCTTTTTAAAAATTTATTTATTTATTTATTTATTTTTTGAGATGGAGTCTCGCTCTGTCTCCCAGGCTGAAGTGCAGTGGCGCGATCTTGACTCACTGCAAGCTCTGCCTCCCGGGGTCACGCCAGTCTCCTGCCTCAGCCTCCTGAGTACTGGTGACTACAGGCACCCGCCATGCCTGGCTAATTTTTTTTTTTTTTTTTTTTTTTTTTAGTAGAGACGGGGTTTCACCATGTTAGCCAGGATGGTCTCTATCTCCTGACCTCATGATCCACATGCCTCGGCCTCCCAAAGTGCTGGGATTACAGGCATGAGCCACCGCACCTGGCTGGCACATACTTTAAATACAAACCCACACTGAGGTTGAGAGTAAAAGGTTGGAAAAATGACCTAAACTAAAAACACACGTCATAAGAAAGCTATATTAATATCAGATAAAGTAGACTTCAAAACTAAGAACATAAGACAGGTGTTTCATAATGATAAAAGGGGCACTTCATTAAGAAGATATAACAATTTTAAAGTCTCAACCTAATCATAGTTCCAAATACATAAAAGAAAAATGGATATAATTAAATGAAGTAAACAAATTCATAATTAGAAATTTAATTATCTCTTAATAATTGATTGAGCTGCTAGACAAAAAAATCAGTAAGGACAATACCTGAACAACATTATCAGCCACCTTGAATTAGTTGACTGTTATAGAACACCGCACCCCAAAATAATAGAATTCTTCTAAAGTGCATCTGGAATAGTCACTAAAATAAACCATATGTTGGCTATAAACAAGTTTCAATAAGCTTCAGAAGACTGAAATCTTACAGAGTATATTCTCTGACCACAGCAGAATTAAATTAGACATCAATAACAAAGAAGATATCCAGGAAAGCCCCAAGTATTCGGAAATTAAACAAGATTCTTTCAAAAAATCCATAGTATCCATGGTATACCCAAATAAATTGAAAACACGTCCACACAAAACCTACGCACAAATATTGAGAGCTGCTTTATTCATACTTGCCAAAAGTTGGAAGCAACCAAAGTGTCCTTCAATAGGTGAAGGGATAAACAAACTCTGGTACATTCATACAATGGAATGTTATTCAGCAATAAAGAAAAATGAGCTATCAAAACACGAAAAGACATAGAAAAATATCAAAAGTACACTGCTAAGTGAAAAGCCTGCCTGAAAAGGCTACATATGCTGTATGACTCCAATGATAGGACATTCTGAAATAGGCAAAACTATGAAGACAATGAAAAGATTCGTGGTTGCCAGAATTTGATGGGGAGGGAGGGATGAATGGGCAGAGGGTGGGAGATTTTTGGGGCGGTGAAACTATTCTCTATGACATTATAATGGTGGTTACATACCATAGTATATTTGTCAAAGTCCATAGACTGTACAACATGAAGAGTAAAACCTAATCTCATTATTGGCTCATCCACTGCAACAAATGTACTACACTAATATACCATGTGATTAATAGGGGAGATTTGCTGGAGGGAGAGGCCTATATGGGAAGTCTCTGTACTTTCCCATCAATTTTTCTGTAAACCTGAAACTTCTCTAAAAAACGTTTTCTGAAAACCCATGTTCAAAGAACGCAAGTGACCCTGTGTCTAATATGCTCACCATATACCTCACTTCTGATCTGCCTTCCCGTATCTCTCTCCCCTTAAGAACTCTCACTCTTAGTCAAGGAGGGAGTGGCGGAGGACAGAAGTGGATGTTGAGTGTGACATCAGGCAAAACAGGTTGTTCTAGATCCTGGCTTGCTTTCCCCTTCGCTCAAACATTCATTCTACAGACATCGAGCTTCTATTCTGGGCTAACCTCTCTGCTGGGCACACAGGCTACAACTGGCAACGTTACAATCCCTTCCCAAGAAGCATTCGCAAGGAAAGGGAGAAACTGACAAGTAAACGGTCGTTGACAGTTCACTACGCCAAGTGTCATGTGGGTAAATTCAGAGGACGATGAGAATGCAGAGAAGTATCTAACCCAGCCCAGGTTCTGGTCAAGTAAGATTTCCTGGAGGATGTGACATTGCAGTCAAGCCCCCAAAACTATGAGCAGCAGTTCAGAGGCAATGGGAGGCCAGGCACTGTGGCTCACACCTATAATTCCAGCACTTTGGGAGGCAAAGGCGGGTAGATCACTTGAGGTCTGCAGTTTGAGACCAGCCTGGGCAACATGACCAAACCCGTCTCCACTAAAAATACAAAAAACAATTATCCGGGCATGGTGGTGGTGGGCAACTGTAATCCCAGCTACTCGGGAGGCTGAAACAGGAGAATCACTTGAACCCAGGAGGCAAAAGTTGCAGTGAGCTTAGATGGCGCCACTGCACACCAGCCTCGGTGACAGAGTGAGACTTTGTCTTTAAAAAAAACCAAAAAAAAAAGAGCCAATGGGAAACCTCCTGGACTTGATCAGAGGTTCGGAAGCAAAAAAGATAACAGCCCATGGGGAAGCTGCAAGCAGGTCATTACGGAATATAAATAAGGTGCACATGCATGTGTGTGGGGGCGAGGGGTGGATGACAGAGGGGAGAAATGGGCTGGAGGGACAGGTAGAGCCAGGTCAGACCTGAGCCTTGATGTTCTCAGAAACAATGCTTAGGCAGCCCAGACACACCTGGTAATGCCAGCTCCCTGGAGTCTGTGCCTAAGGCAGAGGACCCATCCTGGGGGAGATCCCCAAGTCTCTTTTGAACACACTTGGTAGAAGAAGATATCCTATAATTACTGTGTTGATAATTAGAGGCACCTCCATAGCCTCTTTCTTTCTTTTTGTTTTTTTGAGACGGAGTCTTGCTCAGTCGCCCAGGCTGCAGTGCAATGGCATGATCTCGGCCCACCGCAACCTCCGCCTCCCAGGTTCAAGTGATTCTCCTGCATCAGCCTCCCGAGCAGCTGGAATTACAGGCATGTGCCACTACCACTTGGCTAATTTTTGTATTTTTAGTAGGGACGGGTTTCTCCATGTTGGCCAGGCTGGTCTTGAACTCCCGACCTCAGGTGATCTGGCCGCCTAGGCCTCCCAAAGTGCTGGGATTACAGGCGTGAGCCACCGCGCCAAGCCTCCATGGCTTCTTTTAACAAACACTGCACACGTTGTAGCGCTCTCACCTGCAGTGGGGTGCAGAGAGACAAAGTACCCCTCCTGGGGGGAGCCTAATGCCTGAGTCTCTTGCCAAGCACACCTGCCTGGCTGAGGCCCAGAGTGCCACAGATACACCTGGGGCTGCTTCAGCTTGGAGCTGAGTGCTGCTGGCAGGGAGACTAAAAGTCACTCCCAGTCTGGCGCAGTGGCTCATGCCTATAATCCTAGCACTTTGGGAGACCGAGGCGGGCGGATTGCCTGAGCTCAGGAGTTTGAGACCAGCCTGGCCAACATGGTGAAACCCCGTCTCTACTAAAAATACAAAAAGTAGCTGGGCATGGTGATGGGCGCCTATAATCCCAGCTACTTGGGAGGCTGAGGCAGTAGAATGGCTTGAACCCGGGAGGTGGAGGTTTCAGTGAGCTGAGATTACGCCACTGCATTCCAACCCATATGACAGAGCAAGCCTCTGTCTCAAAATAAAATACAAATTAAAAAAAATTAAAAAGTCTCTCCCCAGATGCCATAGTCTGGGCAGCTCACAGCCAAGCCACAGGCTTCAATTTATTCCAACCTTGCCCTCTGGGGTGACTTCAAACCTGTAGAGATGTTGGCTAGGATCTGGAGGTGCCGTCCACTAAGGCAACCTCAGCCTGAGATGCTCAAGCCATTAGTCTCTGGGCCCACACTTCATCTTCCT